TAAACTGTTTAAAATAGCAGCAGATTTTCTATTACGGATATTTAACAAGTATAAGGTGTGTGTTATTTAAAGGCCATGTTGCATTTGCTGCTCTACATGATTTTTATTTTGCTGGGTTCAGTGTAAAATGTAAAATGCTGTGTGGATTTGTAAGGTTCCAGACTTTAAGGCCTGGTAAAGATGGCAAACTGTAATTTTTCAGGTGATATAAAGTCAAACGTTTACAGAACCTTAAAAACAATCGTTATGCTCTTTAATAGAAAACAGTTATATTTTTTGAAATTCCACATTCCAATATTAAAACTGTTTTTTAGGTAAGTTGGACTCCACCATTCAGCTTTCATTTGAATGTTTACATGGAAGGTGTAGTTTTCATCCTGTACCTTCCTGTTTTCCACCTCTGTCTATAGTTTGACTTGATATCCTTTCTTTTGTGCTTGGTGGTCAAACCGAGATGTGAAAAAAAAATCAAGGTTTTGCTCAGTCGCCCATGAAGGGACCCCTATGGCCATTTATGATACTCGGAAGGGAGATCAAGTGGGCAATGAATCCCACCTAATGCTTTTCATTGGTGTAACTCCAGAGCAGGAAAGGGAAACCTATTTGAAACATTTTCTCTGATGTTCAATCATATTTTGAAGTTAGAAACATTTCTAGCTTGGATTCCCTGCTAACAATGTAAGGCTGCAAAACTAAGGATTATTTTGCAAATGGATTCATCTTTTTATTAAGATTAATGATTATTTGAGCTATTAATAAATTAATAATTGAACAGCCAAAGATTCCTTAAAGAAGAGTTTTACTAAATGAAACCAGGTGAAACTAAATCTCTTAGATGCAAAATGTTTATACAGTGGGGGAAATAAGTATTTGACCCCTTGCTGATTTTGCAGGTTTGCCCACTTACAAAGAATGCAACAATCTATAATTTGGAGGCTGCCTGCAGGGAGGAGTGGGCCAATATCCCTGCAGAAATGTGCACAAACCTTGTCACCAACTATAAAAACCATTTGACATCTGTGCTGGCCAATAATGGCTTTTTCTACAAAATATTAACATGCTGTTTGTCCAGGGGGTCAAGATCAGATGGTTATCAATTTTTATAAATTCATATGATGTGAATTTCTGGAATTTTCTTTGGGATTCTGTCTCTCACTGTTAGAATGTACATATGATTAGAATTGTAGATTGTTGCATTCTTTGTAAGTGGACAAACCTGCAAAATCAGCAAGGGGTCAAATACTTATTTCCCCCACTGTATATTTTATTTGCAATTTTGATAAAATTACTGCTCTAAGTGAGTCGGCTACAGTCGTGATTTTCAGTCTCTATATTCCAGTAAATGATTAATCGATTACCAAGCTAGCTTACGATTTCAATAATTGATTAATTCGATTAATTGTTTAAGATCTATAATAATGTTACACTTTGTTCATGTTTTGGTGCATCTGATAGAAACAATGATGGCAAATCATTAAAGGATGAAATTTCAAATAAAACAGATTCTGAAATCTGTCAGTTTAATACATGAATCTTTTTATATCTGTCATGGATATGTTTAATTAAATGTGATCTCCGTACAATTTTTTTTAAGAAATAAGGGTAGAAACAAATATCTACTGTCATATGAAGCAAGAAAATACATGATTCATTCATCTACTTATGAGTAATATTATTTTTTTATGTTTTGATGCTGCCCTGCAAAGGGACTCTATATAAGTGGTTAAAACCCAGCTTATGCCCCTGCTGGTTTTTGACACATTTGGCTGGAGAGAGCTTTCAGATAACCGGCAGATTACACATAATGGGCCACTATTTGTACAATTATCATCCTAACTCTGGTTCACAGGGATAAGGATTCTCTGTGCATCTGAAATGTTGGCTGTGTTGTGAAAGCATTACCCAGTCTGGAACCAAACCAAGCTGAAGGCAGGTACACATGGAGATTAGAGGCTTTGGCTGACCTCATAACTGCAACCTGAAGCTGAATATGGTTCTTTTTGGCAGAGGGGCGAATTATTGCTGCAGAACTAACAAGGCAGCTTTATAAGACGAAGAGGTATTGTAAAAGAGCTGGATCCAAATTCAGACCAAACCATTGTGTAATGTTTCTCATTAATATTTGCGTTGCTTATAAAACACCAGAACACAAGAGGCTGTGGAGAATTTTCAGCAGATTATGGAAAAATAAAAGATAAAACCAGCAAAAGTAAAAGGTAAAGACTTGATTGATGAATTTGCTCTGTGTTGACAAATATTATGTTGTCTAGATTATGTTTTCCTGCAAAAAAGACAAATATTTCTTTGAATTAAAATAATTACTTAGAAAAGTATAGTTGTATTTGTTTAGATATAAGGAAAGTTATACACTTTTGTTTTTATATTCATGTTAATTATAGTGTACAGGTATTTTTGTAAAATTCAGACTCATCACTGCAAACTGAGTTTGGATCTAAAGGGTTAAAATGCATCCAACCTTATAATAAAATAGAAAAATTGGGTTGATTGTTTTGACTGATTTCTGGTTTAAAACCAGGCTTAAAAACCTTTGCTTACATTTCAGAGGAAATCTATTTTTTTCTTAAAATAAGTGCAATTGTTCTTGGATTGAGGAGGTAAGAGAGACGTGTTGCCAATGGAACAAGACAATTTAGGTTTAAAATAAGAAAACACAATTGCATTGTCTTATTTCAAGTGCATATTATCTAGTTATCTTATTTTAAGATTAAAAATACTCATTCCATTGGCAAACTATCTTATTTACCTACTCAAATTAAGGGTAAATAATAAGAAATTTTTACTTATTTCCAGATTGTTTTTCCAGTGTTCATTTTGGCTATTCAAACCATTAATATGAACTTTTTAAAAGTCTGCAAGAATAAAATTGTATAATTTCCTTTTTTTTTTTTTAGAGGGGATTGTTTTGTGTTTGTAAAAATATATATATAATAACTTTTTGGCATTTGTTATTACATCCTTTTTTTGTTTTTGTTTTTTAGACAAAAAGTCTAATTTAACTTAAACTCTCTCCTCTCGGAGAAGCTTAATGTTCACCAGATTCAATCATTGTTGCATCACATTATGTGAACGATGCAAAAGGGTCTGTTTTTGCATGCAGAAGTTTGCATGCAGAAGTTTAAAAAAAAACAGCACATTTGCTCAGCTTTGGCTAATATTAGCATGTTTTTTTTTTTGCTGCTACTGCAGCTAATGACAAATTTCAGCATACATCCAGTCAGTTCTGTGCATAAATCACCTGTTACAAGTTTAACACTTTAACCATCATAACTTTTTCGCTGCTATCTGCACCTAGAGCCTTCGACACACGATGTGCAGTGCAACAATTAACAATTAAAACCTAAATTAAAGAAATAAATAAATACAGTGGACAGCCTTTGATGTTCTGCAAGCTGGGCACGTATAAAATAGAAATCTTATAAAAAATAATTGGTCATTTTAATTGCTGCATGATTTAATTGGGCTGCAGCTGGCATGAAATAACACCAACAACAAGCATCAGGAGCTAAATTGACTTAATTCCTCAGATGCTGATTAATTAAAGACACCTTCTGGACCCCAATCGAATGCTTAGAATCAGATCAGGGTATGAGCTGCAGTCCTGAGAGAAACAATGCAAATCCAGAGTTTCCTGTAGCGAATATAATTCCCTTTTTTCTTTGTCCTTTTAAGTAAGTTTTCTTTGCCACAGCTGACTTCTCCTGCCATTAGTGTCATGTAGATTACTATTGGAATGCCTGCTGCAGTTTGAATCGGTTGTAACCATAAGGTTTTATTAGAGAAAGTTTTAAAGGCAATAATGAAGTTAAGGTTACATCAGCATAATACAAGAGAAACTAATAAATGCATGTTGAATAAAGTCATTCAAATTGTCTGAGCTCACTATATGTGCATATATTGGCAAACCGGCAGTGAGCCAATACGTTTTTGTGGTTTTTGTAGAACTTTTATCATAGAAAAGAGGCAGAAGCTGTTTAATTCCACCTATACACGGACATTTTAGATTACTGAACCCCTGATCTGCTTTTTAAATTAATAAGCAGTTTTTTCTTTTGCTCTGAAAGCAGCAACCATGGAGCTACTAGTACAGTAGCAACTGTGCATCAGGTCGAAGACCAATTACCCTCTTCTCAGCTGGAGCCAGAGCCTTTGCCACACGCATAATACTTTAACTGTAATGAATCTGTGTTTACTCAACCTATGGCCCACCCACGCCCTTGCCTCATTAAATAATGTGTTTCTTAATTTCTTGAACACAAAGTGAGCTTGTCTAATTTAATTTCCTGTTCCTATGTCTACCAGCTCTGTATCCAGCGGCTCACTGGATAAAGCGTGGGGCGTATTCCCTGATCGACCCCACATTCCTGCACTCAGAGGAGGATTCTAAGCTACTTTATGAGGTCAGTTCAGATCCGCAGACAGAACTCTTCATCTGCAACTTCTGTGCTGCAAATCATTAGTAGCAATGTGAAATATGTGCTTATCTAAACACTTCCTGACTGATTTTGCTTGACATCCAATGTCTGCAGTACACTTCCCATTTAGGTGGAGTCGTATGGTTTTGATCTCACTTGGAATCCAGTTTGGTCTGTTTTCTTTTTTGCTTTTTTTGCAGATTCTTCTTGCTGGAATGCAGATCCGGGGCGAGGAGCACAACCTGCTGATCCCAGATGAGGAGCTGGCCTCTCTAAGGAGCGTGAAAAAACTGGAAGTTATCTGTGAGGATGTTCTGCCAAAGAAGCTCTCTGATATCCGGCGTCTGATGGCGGAGCTGGCCGACCGGCGGCAACATCTCAGCTGGCAGGACTTTGAGCGAACAGTGCTGACTTTAGTCTACACCTCCCAGATACTGGCTCAAATGAGCGACCAGAACCAGAAAGAGCTGTGGATGGAGGCAATGGTGCAACTGGTCCGAGCTCTTCTACGAGACCTCAAACCCTTCTGAGAAAAACTCAAATCATAGCAAATCTAAATCAGTATTTTACTTGTTTATAGCATATTAACAACCTATGCCCAGTTTTTACAGTTGCTATGCTACAAATGTGGCTTTACTAAAGTGCCAGTGCAGTCTTTTGTATTGCAGCTTTCTGTTGGTGGAGGTTGACATACCAAATGTTAAATTCCCCCCCGACCACCATGAATTCCCCCTGCAGTGCATGAACAGTGTAGGCTGGTTGTATTGCTTTAATAATATGGTGTTTTCATTGTTCTTTTGCACCAGCTGAGCATCTTTTGAAGCAACAGCCTCCTTCATCGCTGGCGGTGTAACATTAGGAATCTTACTGATGCTTCTATATGAATGTCTTTCCCTCCGAGCTGTACACTCAATCATGACATAAAGGTGCTTCAAATATTCCTCATTTTAGCTGATCATTATATTTGGATTTTCAAACATAGTAGAAATGCAAATTCATAACAGCTTAAGATCATTTTTTATTTCGATGCATATTAGTGGAAATTCATTTTGCAATATTCTGGAAATTTAGACATCTTTATGAAAATATCCATGTTAAAGTCATAGTCAGTTATAGCTTTTAAATGCGTTGAAGTTGAGTTATAGAGGGTTAAATCTGTGCATCTAAAATTGTACATAATTACTAACTAGACGTTATTTTGCAACTATCTCTCTGTCTGAAAATGTAAACAACATTGGTACCCTTGTATGTCCATGGCTGAGATGGAACACAAATACCCAGAAGAGAGCCAATCAGAACAAACAAAAAAAAAGCTTGGAGCACTATTTTAGGACTTGGTAACTCTATTGCTTTAGTTCAGTGTTTAGCTGTCCTTTCGGGGGGGTTTTTCTCTGTGCCTCTTATCCACCAAGATCACTTATTTTTTATGTGTGTCTAATTGCATCCGAACAGCAAAGAGTTTATGCAGCGAATATCCAGCTCTTGTTCCAGATGAAAGCATTCAGCGCCTCCATGGAGACGTGACCTCGGGGTCGGGTTAGACAAATGTTGTGCCAAGAATGCCCCGTTCACTTAGCTGAGGAGGTCCAGTGTATCAAAAGACTAAAACCTAGAATAAAGCATTTTCCTATTTGTTTATCGAAGACTGATTTCTGGTCTTGATAAACAAACCAGTATCCCAATTTAGGCTTGAAAACCTTTGTTTCCATTTCAGAAGAAATCTTTTTTTTAAAAAGTAGATTCTAGCGGCTCATTTTGGCTATTCAAAATATTAATATTAACTAAAAAGTCTGCAAGATTAAAGTTGTGTTATTTCCTTTTTTTCAGTCTGTAGAGGGGATTGTTTTGTGTAATAAACTTATAAAATAACTTGTTTTAACTTTTGTTATTACAGCGAAATTGCAGTTGGATGCAATCAAAAGCGCCCCATTCCCATTAATGTCTTCAACTCATTTTGTATGTTTTTTTGTTTTTTTGCTCTGTATATAAAAAAAAAAAAAAAAAAAAGATTGCTTGGCTCCTTTAAATGGTTTAACACTTTTTTGCATAAAAAGCAAATAGATTCAGTGAACATCATTATCCTTGATTGCTCATTTAAGCAAAGCAAGAAATGTCTGATGAGTGTTTGCATCAAATGGACCCATTTTTTCACACTTATAGGTGGAAAAACATACTACTTCATGCTAATTTCAGAGTGGATGGAGGGTATTTATGAGTTATTTTCTCTCCTTCATGAAATTTGTTTTGCCTTTGATTACGCTTCCATTTTGCTTATGCTGATACTGCAGTTATCTCCTTTCATTTCCACCTTCAGCTGCGGCTGGACTAATTTTGGGGTACGAAGAAGTGTGAGGAAAAATAGCACAAAAAAAATCAGTATCTAAAAACAATGAAAGAGTTTAAGCTTGAGTTGAGAAAGAGGGACTTTTTTTTCTCAACTGTTTCAAATATTGAAATTATTGCCCACATGGACACAACTCCAAAGTCTGCTTGTGGAACCTTTTATCAACATGGGAGACAGAGACTGAGCTTCTTATCAGCAGGAAAGAAGATTGTGTTAAATGAGTCCAGATGGAGTTTTCAGAAACAATAAAACTGCACCTTGCATCAGGCACGGCGGTGGTGGTATCATGCTTTGGAACTGGCAGTGAGGGATATCGGTAAATAGGAGAAAGTTGAAGGAATAATTGAAAGATAGTTTTCATTATTCGCTTGAACGTCCCTTTAAGGTGGTTAAAATGCACATCATAATGATCTACTGCATCTGGTTTCTGAAAATAAAATAAAACTTCCTTATTTTCCTATGAGCAATCAAATTATATTTGAAAGCCATAAATGATCTAAAGCTTGTTTATGGCTACAAAATGCATGCAGAAGGTTAAACCGAATCCAGTTCAATATAACTGGAATTGTAGGCACGTAATTCAGTCTAATGATAATGCGCAGGACAGAAAACTCATATTTAATGTTAGTTTCTGCACAAAATGTAAACATTGAAGCATAATCAAAGTAGTAAACGAAAGGATTCATTTAAAGAGCACAATTTGAAAGAATATACACATATTACAATATTTTTTTCACTAAGCAAAAAGGTTGCTGGAGATGATAAAGCTTATATCAGTCATACATTTTCTGCTAAAGTTAATAACTAAACTGAGGAGCAGCTGTTTATAAATAAACAACGCGCTTAAAAGTTAAAAACTAATAAGGATTTTTTAAATTTTCACTAAAGCACGTGACTCTATTACTTGTTTTATCCTGAATTTTGTTGAATTTTGCCACAAAAAAAAACCCAAACAGATCTCAGATGTGCCTGCTTTCTTATGTCCAGTACCATGGAAAATGAGCGCCCCCTAATGGCTGCATAGGGCAGTGCTTCCTTTATGAGAGAATTCATGACCCGTTTCTGTGGTAATTCCTAATTTACAGCAGTGAGAGAAATAATAAATATCAATGCTAGCATTTACCTAATGTGGTGCAACATATAGCAATAAGTTAAACCATATTATATAAAATGTAGCTTGTTCCTAAAAAATATTTATATTATAAATTGAGTGAAAGTTCAATTAAAGCAGATTTGTTGATTATTTTTTATTGTTTTGTTTTGTTATATATCCTCAATATGTTATAAATAAATACTATTATTAATGTAGCTAAGCATTTAGCTGATAAAAAACAAAAAGAATTTCATAAAAATCTTCCAAAAATATGGTTTATTTTTTATTTTTTTACCCTAATGTTGACATGTTGAGGAAATAAACTCAAGGTACATATATTATAGTCAATTGTGCATCTTGCAGGTTTAACAACTCAATAAGATAAATTGTCAGCTCAAAATATTCACTAGATGGCAGCATTTTCTATTAAAAACGACTGAAAAAAGCAGCAACTGTCTCCCTTTATTTCTTTATTACAATAATCTTAGAAGTTTTTGACAAAATGTATTATTCATTTACTGAAAAAAAACGAATAAGGCTCCAGAGGAGGAACAGAAGCATACGGCATCTCTTACTGGTGTTTTTTTTAGGAAGGTATGTTTTCATAAGAACCGAGGTAATTAGACCTGAGGCTCTTCAAAACTGAAAAGTGTCTCTCCTTGTAGGAATATTCTCTGATCACCTCCATCTGACAGTTGTTTTAACTCAAGCTTATCAGCTGCATATGTTTTTCTCTCTGCAGCTGTCAGACATATTTTTCATGCTTCAGGTCTTCCTCCACTGCTGCAGAGAGAGATGAGGCATCACCACATATCTACATTTTTATGGAGCAAAATAGTGGGACATATAAAAAGGAGAGGCGGATTCACATTTGTGTTGACTGTGATTTGCAGCCAAAGGCAAAAAATAATTTGGGATCTCAGCAAAAGTTTGAATCTTTGACACATTCTGTTTATTTTTTTTTTCAGGAATTCATGCATTTTTCCTTTATTTATTTGCAAAATCACTGTCGGTTAGAACGGCAACAGAACCCAGAATGAGCATCCAGATGTAGAGCTGCGTGTTGGAAGGTGATTTATGACATGCAGCCGCAAACAGTGTGAGGTCATTAACATCTGCCCCATGCCAGAGTCTGCATGGAGCTTTCTTGCTTTGCTAAAACCAGTTTCACTCACACCACACTCAATCATCCGGGCTGTACCTTTATTATTGCCCAGCTTCTAATGCACTTAGCATTATAGCAGTTCATCACTTGCAACCGCAAATTGAGAAATAGGTCCAGGTCATTGTTGCACGCCTGTTATTTAAACGTGGCTAATGTGGCGTGCATAATAGTAGCTGAGGCTTGTAGAGATGTGGTGCTGGAGGGCGAAGCCGCAGAAGGATTGGATGGATGAATAGGCAGATAGATGGGTGGGCAGAGGTGGGATGCATTAGTCAGGGAGTGGGATACCTCACCGAGAAGGGGTGCCAATTACGCAGCTTGAGTGAGAGCAGGCGGCCTCGTGCTTTTTACTGCTTCCAGGAATCAACCCTGTTTTTCACAGAGACATCAGAACTGCTGGAAACAGCAATCCTAAATACACAAAGCTGCATGAATTGGTGGAAATACTAATACTGTGGATGGTGAAAATATTCACAGGGCTTTTCCTCAAGAGCACAGCTGAGCATGATGTTGAAATAAAAGAAATGAGATGTGGTCTAAAAAGATTCTTACAAAGAAACTGAAGCAACTTGTTAAATCAAAGTATGAAACTAAGTGAACAATGAAACATGAAGGTGGGAGAATCATGCTTTTAATGGGAAACTGCATTGAAAAAAACTGCTCAGGTAATTGGATAAAATTACAAAACACGCCAACCTACCTAGAGCTGCAAAGAATAGATCAGTAAATGACATGTATTTCAAGAATTGGGAAAAAAATGTGTAATCCAATATACAATCCATCCCAACTTTTAACGCCTGTCCTTTTTATGATTAAAAATAAAAACTCTGGATGTACACTTGAAAAACGATCTAGAAATAAGTAAAAATCTCTTAAATTAAGTGTATTTACCCTTGATTTGAGTAGATAAATGAGATAGTTTACCAATGGAATCAGTATTTTTACTCTTAAAATAAGATAATTAGATAATAGTCACTTTAAATTAGACAATGCAATTGTGTTTTCTTATTTTAAGTGTAAATTATCTTGTTCCATTGGCAAAATGTCTCTTTTATCTCCTCAATTCAAGAACAAATGCACTTATTTTAAGAAAAAATGACTTATCAAGATGTTGCTTTTTTGCAGTGTATAGAAACTTGCTGAGGTAACCTTCATCTAAATGCAAAGCTACAGTGAAAAATGTTTCTAACAGTATTTCCTTAAGAGACTAAAATGCATCTGCTCTCTATGAACCACCTCTGCAAGACTTTTATTTGCTCTGCATGCTTTTTTGTTTTCATTTTGCTAAACATCATTTGTTTAAACATAAAATTATGGACTGAAATAAAGTTTTTTATTCATGCATTCATTGTATTGATCAGTTATGTTACTTTTGAAGGCTGCTGAAATAAATG